CATGTCTACTGCGATAGTACAGGGTTGAACAAATAAGTCCGTTTTTTGATCACAGTAATTAAGATGCAAATTATTTGGGCCTTGTCGAGTTCACATGGTTACACATTAAAGTGCAACCTCTAAATGAAGGCTTTTCTTGCCAAAAACATCTCAGGTAAAATTGACAAAACTTTGGAAATGTTACTGACAGTTTCATATTATTCCTTTAAAGGACATGTGTTTTGAAACGTTTGGAATAATTGAGGTATCTCAGCGTAAATGGCTCACTCAATAAAATGTGACTAACAAGCAGTTCTACGTTTACTAAACAAAGCACTGGCTTATCTAAAACCAGTTGAGTAGCACTGAAATGTTTTGGCTCTATGAAACCTGATGCTACGATCCTGTTAGTGGTTGGTCCGACCGGGGCACTTCGGTACCGGCCCACCGGAAAAACTCCGGTATTCCCAATGGCCAGTCCGGCCCCCCTGGCTAGAAGCTCAACATATTAGGAAACAAACTGTCATTAAAGTCAGATATTTTAAAAATAAGAAAGGAAGAAGTAGATCAATGCGTTTTCATTACAGGATCTCTGTCATGTTGACGCTGGCGTAGCTCTTTTCTAACTCTGTTTATCTCAGTAACACTCAACTGAACTGGCTGATAATGGTCATGGTTTCTGGCGGACGAAAACATACTCAGAAAAAGTCTTTGAAAAAGGCCACAAAATGATCAGTGTAAGAGACGCGGCAAGGCCTGCCAACTAAAAGAATTATTCATTGTCAATTATTTCCTTTGGTGAATCCATTATTGGATTTTGTCTATTAACATTTCTGAAATGGTATCAAATACCCAATTCCCAGTTCCTCAAAAGTCCAAGCCGATGTCATTTAAATATCTGTCAGACCCAAAACCAACACAATTGCTTGATAAATTACTTATTACTGAATCTGGTTAAAAGCAAGAGATACATTTTTCTGTTGACAATCTAATCTTGTAATCTCTTCAGCCTCATAATGTAAAATAAACGATTAGCCTTTTGAAGTGATCTCAGCAATACTTAGATAAAGCCGAAAAGCTTGCTGTGAAGTTTTTCTGAATTATGCTGGGAGGGGAAGATATTGGCACCTCCTTTGCTGTAAAAAGGCCTCTTCCAACAATGTACTACTTTACACAAAGGGAGGTGCCAATTATCTTCCCCTCGCATTAATCAGAAAACTTCAACAAGCAGCCTTTTCGGGCTTTTATCTAGGTATGCTGAGCATCACTTCAAGCTAAATTCTTTATTTTACATTATGAGGCTTGGAGAATTACAAGTTAGATTGCTCAACAGAACATGTATCCTCTTGCTTATTTAACAGATTCATGGTATTATAAGATAATTTATCAAGCAATTTGTGTTGGGTTTGGTCTGACAAAGATATTTAAAGACATCGCTTGACTTTTGCAGAACTGGGATGGGTATCTTGATACTCATTCAGAAAATGTTATAGGACAAATCCAATAATGGATTCACCAAGGAAATAATTGACAATGTAAATAATTCTTTAGTTGCAGGCTTTGCCGCCGCTCTTCTTACGACTGATCATTTGTTGCTTCTTTTTTCAGACTTTTTCGAGTATTGTTTCGTCCCAGAAACCATGCCATTATCACAGTTCAGTTTGAGTGTTACTGAGTAAACAGAGCTAAAAGAGCTTACGGCCAGGTCAACATGGACAGGAGCTCCTGATATGAAAACCGATTGATCTATTCTTCCCTTTTCTTATTTTCTAAATATCTGGACTTAATACAGTTTGTTTCCTAAGTATTGTTGACTTCTAGCCAGGGGCGGACTGGCCATTGGGGAATTTACCGGGGTTTTTCCGGATGGGCCTGGTACGAGTGGGCGGTCGCCCGACAATCCACTAACAGAATCGTACATCGGCAGGTTTTCATTTTAGAGCCAAAACATTTCAAAGTAGGCTACTCAACTGGTTTTTAGAAAGCCAGTGCTTCTGCTTTGTTGTATATAAGTGCTTTGTTAGTCATTTTATGTGAGTAGCATTTACCTGAGATTACTCAAATCTATTTCCAAAACTGTTTTCAAAACACATGTCCTTTAAAGGATAATAAAACTGTCAGTAACATTTCCAGTTTGGTCAATTTTACCTGAGATGGTTTTTTTGCAAGAAAGCCGTTACATTTAAGGTTGCACTTTTAAATGTGGTAACATGTGAAACTTCGACGAAGCCAAATAATTTGCATCTTATTACTGTGATCAAAACGTGACTCTTATTGCTTCAACCTCGTACTATGCAGGTTAGACATGTTTTTAAAGGAACTTAATATGCAAGCATAATTTACAGCATACGCGATAATGATGCTGAAACACAAGGTGGATAAATCACTACAACAATAAAGGGTGGGTGTGTGTGGAATGATATCATACAGTAGCTCCATGATTACCACTTTTTAGCTTTAATCATTTCCATTTTTGGTTTAGGCCTGGCGTCCAGTAGGGATCAGTCTGATACAATGTTACATTTCTATTTATTGACCCATGCTTTGCCCTACAAACATAAAAAGCATCGCTATCAATAAGAAACGCTTTACAAAGCACCAAGCGGCGTTTCCTTAGTAAAATAAGCCGCGACAAGTAACAGAGATGACTAACCCGACTTCCGCTGATGACTTTCAAATAAAGCCACACTTCACTATGTGGAGATACTCTTTTGTTGTCTTTCTCAAACTGTGCTTTCAGCTTAACACGTCAAAGTCAGGCTACTAGCATTGCTAAACCACATGTGTTATAATATAGCTTTACGAACAAAAGGCAAATTTGGAGCGCAGTTCTCAAAAGGAACGTTATTTACGCGTTTGCATACGCGTACACTTGTTTTTTCGTTTACTTTCGTTACAGGTTAACGCCTGGTTTATTCTTGATAAAGACCCGCTCCCAACATGATGGCTACGTGTTACTGTGGCCTAACAAATATTCATGTTCCCTCAACAAATGTCACAGCCTGAGGTAAATGATAAAACTTTGAGAATAAAAATAATAAATGGCTTATTTAGATTTTACATTTGAATGGAAGCCTCCTAGCTTCCGGTAATGTCCGGGTTAATGCGGTTACTTTGCCGGGCCGGGACTCCAAAACAGACGCGGACTTCATTTTGTCCCGCTTGCTTGAAAAATGTTCCTAATTCAGGTAGCTTATATCTTCAGCGAATAGTAGATACCGCGTTCCCGCTTAAACAGGGAATTCCGTTGTCAGCGGGGAACACTTTCAGGGCATCTTGTCAGCGTTACCTGTGCTGGTTTACCTCCTCCTTGCCTTATCGGTTCTTGAACAACCAGCCAACGGCAGTGGTCCATTAGTGGAATGCATCAGTGCCGGCTAAACAACTGGCTTTGCTGCGCTGCTCACTAGAGACGTCATGTGACGCTGCCGCTCATATAGGGGCCTACTGTACACCAGTTTATGACTACAGTATGCGATACATTATGTGTTAGGGCCAGTCTATGGTTATGGCGCTGGTTTAGGGCTATTAGGCGAATATTTTACTTATCTGTGATACACCAAAAGCTGCAGTACAAGATAAAAGAGAGTCATTTTATGGGATACTTTTCCTTGTGTTTTGAGAATAAATTCCCATTCACACTTAATAAGGAAATTGTTTACTGCACTAGTCAAAAAGAA